TGTTTCACTCATTATGAGTCACAATTGGTCGTTATCTAATTAAGCAAAAGATTAAAGAGATATGTAGACTAACTACACAGACATATCATTATGATAGAATATATTTAAGTTTAGTTTATTTTTCGTAGTATGTATGATGTCTGATAACGCATTATGGAATAAAAGGGAATGGGTGAAAAGTCGGATAATTATTGTAACAGGTGAATGTATATTTAAGCATTACGTTTTCCCAAAACATATATTCCAGATGATGTAACTTCGAAGTTGCGTGAATAGATCTTTGGTGTAAGGATGGAAATGTCAGTGACAGATATTTAATAAAACTATAGTTTTCGTATTTTATGGCTACCGGCTTACTTCAACGTAAGAAAGAGAGAGAGAGAGAGAGAGAGAGAGAGAGAGAGAGAGAGAGAGAGAGAGAGAGAGAGAGAGAGAGAGAGAGAGAGAGAGATGAGAGAGAGAGAGAGAGAGAGAGAGAGAGAGAGAGAGAGAGAGAAAGAGAGAGAGAGAGAGAGACAGAGACAGAGACAGAGACAGAGACAACAGAGACAGGCAGAGAGAGAGAGATAGAGAGAGAGGGGGAGAGGGAGGGAGAAAGAAAGGAAAAAATCTTTTGGATTAAGAAGAAATCTCCATCCACTGATATGGCAGGGCTGTATATTACTTTTTATATGTATTTTTTTCCTGATTTTTATGAATGAAATATGGAAATCAAATGGTGCAGATACTACACAGGACTTCCTAAAAACACGTGGGATTATTTCCAATGTTCATCAATATAACAAAGAGAACAAGAAGAAAAATATAGTTTATCTTTACTCATAGAAAAATATGTTTTTTAACTGACTTCTTGATATAACAGACATAATTAGTTAAACTAGAGACACTTTTTAAAAAAGTTATGGAAAGTTCTTCCTTTTTAAAAAAGCGTAAAGGAAAAAGGGTAGTATCTACAAAAGATGGTCTTTTTAATTAGCTCTTGGTTTCCTAGAAAATAGATGAAATTTAATAACTAGCTTTCATATATATTCTTAAATGAAAATGCAAGGTTTACCTGCAGACACACACTCATTCGATTATGTTTAAAGATTATAATACTTAGGATTACACATACTAGATATACAAATAAATATACATTTCGTTTTATGACTATTACAATTTCTTGAACAATAGGTAAGGGATTCTTAGAAATCTACTTCTTTTAGTCTCAGATACCATATATCATAATACATTATCTTTGAAATCAATAATAAGTACCAAAGATTTTTTTCCGAAACATAAACCCACGACTGTAGGACAGTTCCGTTTCAAACAATTTATTATAGTTACACCGCTATATCTCGTCTTTTATTTTTACGTTTTCTTTGATAACATCGTGAGAATTATAAATGGTACTTAATTCATTTACCGCTAAATTCACCTTTTGTTGAAATCAGTCTATCTAGGCAAAATGCATATTTACTCAATAAGTCTATTTTGTACGAATGCATTAGCAAAAATTAATTACCCACTCTCTGTTTTGTTTTGTTTTTTTTTTGAGGCGAGGGGGGGGTGAATTTTGAACAACTCGCGGAACGTCAATACTTCCTTTTTCTTATTTTTTCTTTCTTTTTATATATATATCTCTTTCGATAACCACTGAAAGTTTACAGATCTTCGTGCCGTGTGCGAGTATCGACCGTACATCCACGAGAGTTTTAAGGACATGAATTTTTATAGTGTCAAAGTATATCATAAAATTTTATAGTGTCATTGTCGCAAACTGACCTGGGTCCAACGTCACAAACTCGCCAGAATTAAACAAGATAAGAATAAGAAAATAGGAATTGAATTTGGCTGATCCGGTAATGCCTTTTGCTCAGACCTGACTCAACTTTCGCGATTTTCGTCTTTCGAATGCTTCCACGTGTTTATTTCTCTCCTTCTTCTCCATTCCTCCTTCTCCTCTTTCCGTTCTAGTTCCCACATTCTTCCTCTTCTTGTGTGTCACCTCCTCTCTCCTCCTTTCTCCTCCTCCCTCTTCCTCCCTCCTTTCTCCTCCTCCCTCCTCTAATTACTAACATTCCTACTCCTCTTTTCCCTCCCGTTCCTCCCTTCCTCCTCCTCCTTCCCCTCCTCTTCTCCTCTCTCTTTTTTTCCTCTGTACTCTCACGTTCACGCTCTCCTTCCCCTTCGTCCTTCTCTCCTTTTCCCACTTATTACTCCCTCCTCTCTTCCCGTTCCTCTCCTTTCTCCTCTCTATTCTCCTGTTCTACCCCCATCCCGTTCCCATACCAGCTCCTCCCTACCCTCTCATAACCACCTCCCTCCTCCTCCTCTCCCCCTCCTCCCTCCTCCTCTCACCTCTCTCCCCCTCCTCCCTCCCTTGTAGCTCCCACTCTCCCCCTCCCCCCTCTCTCCTCCCTCCCTGCCAGCTACCCCTCCTTTCTCCTCCCTACCCTCCCCTTTCCCACCTTCCTCCTCCTCCCACCCTACCTCCCTCCCTGTACCCCCCTCCCCCTCCCCATGCCCCACTACCTTCTCTATACCCTACCGTTCTCACCGCTCTACCCCCCCCCCCCTGCCTCTCTTCCTGCCCTGCTCACTTCCCTCCCCGATACCCCCCCCCTCCTCCTCTCTGCCTCTCTTTCCCACCTTCCTCCTCCTCCCCTCCTCCCTCTCTCTCTCCTCTCCTCCCTCCTCCCTTCCCTCCCTGTCCCCCACCAGCCTTGGGAAATTTGCATATATCACGTGTGGTTCGTCACAAAAATGTTTGCTCGCGATGTATCAGGATTTCGAAAAGTTTGGAGAAATATTTGTAGTGTAAAGGATATGTTTTGTGGTTATTCCATGCGTTTTATTCATATAAATATGTTGCTTGCTGTTTTTAGGGTTTACCTTATTTCCCGAGACTGTAAGTTGACTGTTTAAAAGGCTAAACACGTGTTTAGTTCATCAGGGGATTTAGTTATATTTATTTTTCCATTTTTTGAGTTATATAATATTTGTGTTTACAATTAAGTTCCGTGGTTATCATCTCTCATATATCAATATTTTCTCAAATAACTGATAACTTTTCCATCTCTTAGATAATTATTTATAGAGTTATTATACACAACTGCTTTCAAGTGTACGCCATCTATCAATATATCTATACCTATATCTATCCATCCATCTTTCTATCTACAGAGAAATGCGTTACTCGCCACACGTGGTTGGACACCGGCCGTTAACTTCTAGCTAAAGTGTCTTCCAAATTTGTATTATTTGTATGATACATTTATTTTTTTTTAAATCTTTATATTCATAATATAATTTCATATCTTTCACCATGATATTATATTTTTTGGTATATTCAATTAAAAAGGTTAATAAAACGATAGACTACTGAAATTGGTTTAAGTTAGATATGACAGATGAAAAAAAAGAAAACAGAAAGTTGACTCGACAATTCATTTAGTTAAAATTTCATAATGCTTTGAATCTTGTGTTTGCAAAATATTTTCTAAGAACATGTAGATTTTACTTATAATATCTGACACCATGCGCGTTATTCTACGTGAATGCATTAATGAAGCGGCTTAAAACACACATACCCTTTGTACAGGCAATTAGTGACCTCTATCAATTGACCTCAAATGACATGGTAATTAGCAAGAGCTTGTTAATAATTAGCGCGCAAGGTGTGATGTATATAGTTTGATCGTCCATATTTTATGAATTAATGTTTGCATGATTAAAAATGATATTGTTTTTTTTCTGATAAGATTTTTATACGTTTAAACAGTTACATATGGATATATCCCTGAAAAATAGATAGAGCAGAATACATTTAAGATTTGTCTATTATCATAGGTACAACAATCTTGAGTAGCAGTAACAGAAAGGTGTGCGTAATATATATATATATATATATATATATATATATATATATATATATATATATATATATATATATGTATATATATATATATATATATATATATATATATATATATATATATATATATATATATATATATATGCATGTGTGTATGTGTCTATATGTATATATGTATATATATATATATATATATATATATATATATATATATATATATATATATATATATATATATATATGCATGTGTGTATGTGTCTATATGTATATATGTATATATATATATATATATATATATATATATATATATATATATATATATATATATATGCATGTGTGTATGTGTCTATATGTATATATGTATATATATATATATATATATATATATATATATATATATATATATATATATATATATATGTGTGTGTTTGTGTGTGTGTGTGTGTGTGTGTGTGTGTGTGTCTGTGTGTGTGTGTGTCTGTGTGCGCGCCCTCGCGTGTGTACCACTGACGTGTACAAGTGATCCAGAAACGTGTGCTTTTGTCTACTGTATCCTCTCGCTTTAGGGCATACAAATAAAATCATATTACACCTGCAAAATAAAATACAACGAATGATAATATATCCAGACATCTCTTATGGCTGTCAACGTAAATAATGCAGACTATTTCTCTCATCTGTATTTCCGGCCATTTAAATGCTCGTAAACCATGGAATTAAAGGCCGCCTCGGGAGCCGGACCAACGCGGCCAACTTTTCCCGCGTGATTTGGTAAGTTGCAGGGAGGCAATATTTTAACTATAAAATCATCTAGAAGAGGGGGTTTTGTATGTTTATACTTCGTGAAAAGAATTATGGTTTTATTTCAATATGAATTCAATTCGTATTTAATCGCCTTATATAAAATCGAAAGTATATAAATACATCTAAATAATCATAACATAGCAATACATTTAAAGGTCTTCCTATAAACCAATCACCGGCGAGCACTTCGAGATATGGACCAATCAACAAAGAGCTTTCAAAATATAACCCAATAGGAAACGAGCTATTCCGCAGCGGGAAATTTAAACCGACCAATCGGCGCTCTCCTCCCACACAGCTGATGCACCTCCCGTTTTCCCGCGAATCTTCAGAAGCATCAACACATCCGCGTCGATAACACCTCCTCTGGATTATTTTTACGTTTTTAAGTCATTTTTTAATATTTTTTGTGATATATAAGACTATTTATATAAAGGTGAGTTCTTCGTTGTGCTTTAGATGTCGTAGTTAGTGGTTATTTTCAAGGTTAATGGGAGAAAAATGGCAAAATGTAAAGGGGAGATGCAGCTGCTGGTCATGGCGTCCCGTCGGATGATTTCCTCAAGTATTTTATTCTCTGATTTTTCGATTAATTTCCCACCTTCTGTTGAGTATGATCTAACCATTAATTAATCCAGTAATTAACAGTGAATTAGTATATAGAATTAGATTGTTTGCTAAGGCTTGAGAACGTAAAACAGACCGAGTTTAGGCCATCAAGTCTTTAACGTAAAAATCTTACCACTTGCAAAACCGTCTAAATTTCGATAAAATTCGCTGATAATAAGGACTTAAAATGCTAAAAATCATCATCTACACTACTAATAACAGAACATGAACTAATCTGATAAGTATAATATTCAAGTACAGATGTAGGCCTATTCACGTACAGATGTAGGCCTAACGCTGTGTCTGGGAACCATTAGTATTACGTCCGCTGTTCTACGTCGTTTTTCTGAGATTTTTAAGGGTTTTTAGTCTTGAGGAGAAACCGTATCACTTATTTTGGCATGTAAGCTTGAATGGAATGTTTAATGCATTAGTTGGTCAATATGTAGTATAAGGTAGTGTCAGAGTTGGGTAATAAAACCTACATGAAATGATAGAACCATACAAACCAAGACAAAGTTCTTCTATGGCAATGTATGTGCAAATGCTTCCTAAGGGTGCTATACTAAAAGAAAAGGGAAGAAGATGGGTTACTTTCGAAACAATTTTGATATTTTTCTGCATGAAATCCACTGCTTTCAACGATTCTAGGCATTGTTCCTTGTGCAAGTGGGCAACCTAACCTAACACCGTGGTATATATTCCCTAGCCAGGGGGCTCTGTCCCCTGGATCCCCGGGGTAATATATATACCTAGCACCCTTGGGAAGCATTTGCACACATATTGCTATAGAAGGACTTTGTCTTGGTTTGTATTGTTCTATCATTTCATGTAGGTTTTATTACCCAACTCTGCCACTACCTTATACTACATATTGTCCAAGTAATTAATCAAGTAATTAACAGTTAATTAGTATATAGAATTAGAAGTTTGAGAATTAAATTGTTCGCTGAGGCGTGAGAATGGAAAACAGACCGAGTTAAGGCCATAAACTTGTACACGTAAAATTATACCACTTTTGCAAACCGTCTAAATTTCGATAAAATCAGCTGAAAAGGAGAACTTTAAAATAACACCATCTATATTTATAGCACTAGTAAAAATACGTTTTTTCCTGCCAATTCAAGGAAAGGTGAAATCAGGACTAACAGAGCCATCTATGAACAGATATTTCACAAAAAATATAAAGAATGAGTACTGCATTTCCCCCATTTTTTGTTCATTTTCCCCGGCGGCAAGAGGTTAAGCTTTGCCGTTTTGGATATACATGTGGCATTTGGGTCAATATGTAGTATAAGGTAGTGGCAGAGTTGGGTAATAAAACCTACATGAAATGATAGAACCATACAAACCAAGACAAAGTTCTTCTATGGCAATGTATGTGCAAATGCTTCCTAAGGGTGCTATACTAAAAGAAAAGGGAAGAAGATGGGTTACTTTCGAAACAATTTTGATATTTTTCTGCATGAAATCCACTGCTTTCAACGATTCTAGGCATTGTTCCTTGTGCAAGTGGGCAACCTAACCTAACACCGTGGTATATATTCCCTAGCCAGGGGGCTCTGTCCCCTGGATCCCCGGGGTAATATATATACCTAGCACCCTTGGGAAGCATTTGCACACATATTGCTATAGAAGGACTTTGTCTTGGTTTGTATTGTTCTATCATTTCATGTAGGTTTTATTACCCAACTCTGCCACTACCTTATACTACATATTGTCCAAGTAATTAATCCAGTAATTAACAGTGAATTAGCATATAGAATTAGAAGTTTGAGAATTGTTCGCTGAGGCGTGAGAATGGAAAACAGACCGAGTTTAGGCCATAAACTTGTACACGTAAAATTATACCACTTTTGCAAACCGTCTAAATTTCGATAAAATCAGCTGAAAAGGAGGACTTTAAAATAACACCATCTATATTTATAGCACTAGTAAAAATACGTTTTTTCCTGCTAATTCAAGGAAAGGTGAAATCAGGACTAACAGAGCCATCTATGAACAGATATTTCACAAAAAATATAAAGAATGAGTACTGCATTTCCCCCATTTTTTGTTCATTTTCCCCGGCGGCAAGAGGTTAAGCTTTGCCGTTTTGGATATACATGTGGCATTTGGGTCAATGTGTAGTATAAGATAGTGGCAGAGTTGGGTAATAAAACCTACATGAAATGATAGAACCATACAAACCAAGACAAAGTTCTTCTGTGGCAATGTATGTGCAAATGCTTCCTAAGGGTGCTATACTAAAAGAAAAGGGAAGAAGATGGGTTACTTTCGAAACAATTTTGATATATTTCTGCATGAAATCCACTGCTTTCAACGATTCTAGGCATTGTTACTTGTGCAAATGGGCGACCCAACTTAACACCGTGGTATATGTTCCCTAGCTAGGGGGCTCTGTCCCCTGGATCCCCGGGGTAATATATATACCTAGCACCCTTGGGAAGCATTTGCACACATATTGCCATAGAAGAACTTTGTCTTGGTTTGTATTATTCTATCATTTCATGTAGGTTTTATTACCCAACTCTGCCACTACCTTATACTACATGTTGTCCAAGTAATTAATCCAGTAATTAACAGTGAATTAGCATATAGAATTAGAAGTTTGAGAATTGTTCGCTGAGGCGTGAGAATGGAAAACAGACCGAGTTTAGGCCATAAACTTGTACACGTAAAATTATACCACTTTTGCAAACCGTCTAAATTTCGATAAAATCAGCTGAAAAGGAGGACTTTAAAATAACACCATCTATATTTATAGCACTAGTAAAAATACGTTTTTTCCTGCTAATTCAAGGAAAGGTGAAATCAGGACTAACAGAGCCATCTATGGACAGATATTTCACAAAAATATAAAAAATGAGTACTGCATTTCCCCCATTTTTTGTTCATTTTCCCCGGCGGCAAGCAGTTAAGGTTTGCCGTTTTGGATATACATGTGGTATTTGGGTCAATATGTAGTATAAGGTAGTGGCAGAGTTGGGTAATAAAACCTACACCTTTCTTTTGTTTCTTTTTTAGAGAATCTTTCAAATTTCTATTGCTATTAGTGTTTTTGACATGAATAATAATAAGTGTCAATATTATTAGCATTATAAAAATATCCAAACTAGAAAATGAGGAAACATGTGTGGTTATATAGGCCTACTAATTGACTCCTTGGTGGTTGAGCATTTGTGGCCACTTGTGTGCAGACACAATTCACAAAACAAAACCACTGTTGATATTGCAAGTTCCTTTCAACATTGGGTTAATGAAGACTATCATTGTTCATTTTTTCTTGCTTATCCCAAATTTCTCGTATGTACTCTAGCTATCAGGGTCATTATTGTCCCTGTAGATCAGTGTTGTTCATTATATGGCCACTTAGTATTTAGATGATATCCTCCATTTCATTGGCCATACTTGAATAATAACCTATTTAGAATAGCATTGTATCAAATGATCCTGGGGCTTCTATACTCACACTCCAAGAGAGCCCAACCTATCTCCATTATAAGTATTCTGGAAAAAATAGAACTTCACTAGTACCTTATTTAACAGTAAATGGCTAAGTGGTCTACAAATTCAATTTTGCTAGTATGTACATGGATGTTTAATGCAAAGTTGAGAAGGAACCATGACAAGTAGTTTTCAGACTTTCATAAGAGATTGGTGAGGTTAATTTTACTCTTTGTAGGTCATATTTTACCCCCAACAATTGGTGTTGTATATTCTTTAGGACCGTTACATTATTCATTGTCTCCACATCATCTTTTCTTAATTATTACTTTACTTTTGTCCCAATGTTCATATATTAGGCCTTACCACAAGACCTACAGTTTGGTACCAAGTAAAAGCAGTTTCAGACATATAAAGGGAATAGTGCATAGTATCAAAAGATCAGTATATTAGAAGGCATGTTTTCCAGTGTCATAGTTGACATAGTTTGCTAGAACAGAAATGCTATGGAAATCATCATTGTTAAATCCTCATTTTACATAGTACTATATGTCCAGAACTGTTATTATAGATAATATCTGCCTGTGTCAGAAGGGAATATGATTGTTGAACTTTCAGAGAGATGCATGGTAAGAGTCTAAATTGGTTAATCTCTAAAGGTTCTTCACTTGAGTATCTATACTTTAGTTATTGTAACAAGCTATTTAAAACTCAATCGTAATTGAAGGGCTGTTTTTCCCTCAGATGCCAACAAAGCAAGAAACCATCAACTTCCCCATTCGCAAGACTCGCACATCAAACATGAAAGCAGACAAAACAGAGGAAGTTTTACCCGTTAGAAGAAGCTCCAGGGCACGCACCACAAAGGAAAATCTCTATGACAGCCCAAGGAGATCAACAAGAGCTACCAAAGATGCCTGCGACAGTCCATACAGGTCATCTCGCCGAACAGAAACGCCTACCAGGGTGTCAAGAGCTGCGGCAAGGGACACTGATGCAGTTACTCCTAGCAAGAGGAAAGCAAGCATTTCTGGTAAGAATGCAATACAGAGTTCTCAGTGAATAAACAGATTTGTCAAATATGCTTGGTAAATTTTCTTTGTATATGTTGAATCTTGAACAGTATTGGAGATATCAATATATATAATCAAAATTGTCATGCAAATATTTTTTGACTTTTCAGAAGTTGAGCACGAAGGCTTAATGTGCAGCCCAAACAAGCACTTGGTTGTTGAACTGGCTCGTTTGCCAGAGTCAATATCCAGCCCAGTCAAGTTACCCCTTAAAGTATGTCGTCAGCTTCTCAGTGAAGATTCCAATCTGGAAAATTCAGAAAAAACACACAAAGCATTGTCAGATAAACCCGTTGAGGATTTACCTTTAAGTCCAGTTAAGTTTTATCCAGCTGCAAATTCACCAGCAAAGATTCAAAATGCTGGTTCAAATAGCCCCCTTAAATCATCTAATATCATCAATATTGCAAGTCCCCGGAAGAATATTAGCAGTCTGATTTCTAGCCTCCAAAGTCCATCTAAGTCTCCAACAAAGCCTGTAAGATTGGGCAGTCCTGTTAAATCCCCACTGAAACGTCTTGTAATGGAAAGAGCTGTTAAGTCGCCCTTGAAAGGGATGAGCAGCCCAGTCAAATCTCCCCTGAAACGACTTGTTATGGATGGACCAGCGAAGTCACCCCTCAAGAATCTGGACTTTGGTAGCCCCCGGAGATCGCCTCGTAAATTAGACCAGGAGAACGCCCAGAGTCCGCGCAGAACTCCAAGGAAACTTGCCATGTCGCCCCTGAAGTTTAGTAGTCCCTCCTCCATGATATCGAAACTCTCGCTGGCAAGCCCCACTAACAATAAAAAGAATGCGGCCATGGGTATCTCCAAACCTAATGGTAAGTGTTTTAATTGGATAGACATTATTTGTGTGTATGATTAATTATATTGATTACATGAATTGCTTTAGTTCGCACACATACTAAATATTCTTTCTCTTTCTTTGTGAAATCTAGTTACGGCATACAGAGCAGTTCGCCAGAGTCTGAATACTGGAACTCCCACTACCCTGGTATGTAGGGAGAAGCAGGTGGCAGATATGGAGTCCTTTTTGAAAGAACATCTTCAAAATGTTAAGCCAGGATCATTGTATGTTTCTGGAGCACCTGGGACAGGGAAAACTGCTTCTCTAAACTCAATTCTTGACAGTATGAAGGTATGCATTATTGAAAAATTATTGTTGCTTTTGTTGATATGTATATATCTTAGGATCTGGGTTTGTGTCAGTGATTTCTTTTAATACTATGTAAAAAACAATCAGTTAAATACTGAATTTCTTTACTCTAGGAAGTCAACATATTGGTTACTCCATCTCAGTGGCATTATTTCTGTTCTTTTCAGCTTCCTAACATCAAGAAGGTCTTCTTGAACTGCATGACATTAAGGACTGCTGGTGCTATATATTCCAAGATTGTATCAGAGTTGGGTCTCCAGCAGAGAGGGACAGAGAGAGAAAACATCAAGGCTATTGAGAAAACCCTAACTTCAGGGAAGAATCCAGTGTAAGTCCTTTCTTTCTTTCCTTTATTACTACTATATTTTTATAACTTTCAAAAAGTATTATGTCAAGTGATGATTGATATAATCCTTATCATTTATATGTTCCTTATTATTGCTTATTATTTATTATTTATATGATCCTTATTTATCAACAGGCTTATAATGCTTGATGAGATTGACCAGCTGGACAGTAGGAACCAAGAAGTCTTGTACTCAATCTTTGAGTGGCCAGCCTTAGCAGGGTCCAAGTTGGTGCTGGTGGGTATTGCTAATGCCCTCGACCTAACAGATCGTATATTGCCTAGACTCCAAGCAAGACCAACTTTCAAGCCAAAGTTACTTCATTTCCCACCTTACTCCAAGGCAGAGATCATTAAGATCATTAATCAAAGAATCCAAGAGGTATGTTTGTGTGTTGGAAGGTAGTTATGTTTATATGAAAAGTAAACAGGTTGAGGATGTTGATTATTGAATTTAAATATAGTCAGATATCTTTAAGGATTAGTTGTAAATAAAATATGGCACTAATATCTGGGAATTTTTACATTTATCACTTACATTTAAGAACATGTTTTTGGATTTGTATTCATAAATCTTGTAATTCCAGCTATAGAGTCAGTTTGAGGAAATCCATAAATTTTTGCTTTTTATTTTTAGGCTGGACTGGGAGATGTTCAAGTGATAAAACCAGCAGCTGTAATGTTTTTAGCCGGCAAGGTAGCATCCGTTGCTGGAGATGTTCGCAAGGCTTTAGATGTGTGCAGAAGAGCAGTAGAACTCTGTGAAATACAAGCACGGAGGCAGAGTGTTATAAAACCTACAAATGGTAAGAAAATTATTTACTTGTACTAGGAATTGACGAAAAATTTGGATGACAGAATTGTTATGATAATTTTTGTCATTATCATCATTTTCAGGAAGTCCTTCTAAGTCTCCAACAAAGAGACCTGCCCCTCCCCCAATGAAGATGGTGGAGGTGCCCCAAGTATTGGCCATCTTCAATGAGGTCTATGGGTCTCGTGTTATCTCTGCTGTAACAGATGCCCCAGAGAGCTTTCCTCTGCAACAGAAGGTGTTGGTATGCAGTCTGCTGTTGATCATGAAGCATGCTAAGTCAAAGGATCTCAATCTGGCAAGGATAAGAGCTAATAGGATTGTTTTCTTGAACATTAGTCTCAATAATTTAATATATCTTCATTTGCTATTTCAGAGTTTGTCATTCCCATTGTAACTTCATCATTATCATCATCATTGTTGTTGTTGTTGTCTATATTATTCTCAACTGGGTACATTGTTTTTCAGGAAGTCCTTCTAAGTCTCCAACAAAGAGACCTGCCCCTCCCCCAATGAAGATGGTGGAGGTGCCCCAAGTATTGGCCATCTTTAATGAGGTCTATGGGTCTCGGGTTATCTCTGCTGTAACAGATGCCCCAGAGAGCTTTCCTCTGCAACAGAAGGTGTTGATATGCAGTCTACTGTTGATCATGAAGCATGCTAAGTCAAAGGATCTCAATCTTGGCAAGGTAAGGAGCTAATAGGATTGTTTTCTTGAACATTAGTCTCAATATTTTAATATATCTTCATTTGCTATTTCAGAGTTTTGTCATTTCCCATTGTAACTTCATTTCTCCTTGGCCTTTCTTTCAGTTCCATGATGTATACACAAAAATCTGTAAGAAACGAAATCTCCCGGGAATAGATCAGAGTGAATTTCTGTCGTTATGTACATTGCTGGAGTCTCGCGGAATGCTTCAGGTTAAGAAAGCAAAAGAAATTCGCAGTTCAAAGGTATTTACTCAATGATTTCTTTTATTTACATTTTGAACATCTTGTTATGATAATTAGTTCTTTCATCTAGTATGTAAGGAAATCCATCCAAAAATGTGAGTCACTCATTTTTCTGTGTGACTTCCTTGATGTAGTAGTCAGATTTATTTAGGAAGTTATCAGGTTCATTAAAATACTGTAAAATAAAAACTTTCATAGAGAATGGTATTTGCAGGAATTAAAAATGATCTAATCTCAAATATATGATGTATTGATAATGATATTGTGGGATCATTATATTAGATGTACTATCAAGTGTACATTTTTCCTTCTTTCTTTCTTATCCTTAAGGTATGGGAGTCACTTTTAATAGAAAGTATCGGTGTAGGTTTTCTTTCAGTGTAAAAGTTTGTTCAGAGTGTCTATAACACATTTTATTTGTGTATCTAATATACCTATTTGTGTTGCAGGTCATCTTACGTCTTAATGTTGATGAAGCAGAACAGACCCTAGGTGACAGAAACCTCTTAGCAGCTATACTAGAAGATAAAGAAAGCTTAGGGAAGCTATGTAAACAGTGAAACAATTACTGGATCTTAAAAGAGACTCATTATGTACATAAGCATTTCGCTCCCATTCATTTCATTTGGAAAGCAATTGATCATTTTCATTTAAGAATCATTGAGGCATAAATTACACCCAAACTGATCATTTTAACTTAGTAGAATTTTGTGAATATACTTTATGTTGTTGATGACACTGCTTTTTTAGTCAGATTGCCTGTTGTCATGTGTTTTAACTCAGTGAAGTAAATGAGGTTTCATTTAAAGTGTGCCTGCATGGATGATGTTTTGATGCCTGTGGTTGCATGCCAAAGATATTGTTTTTTTGTTTAGGAAGGGCATTTATGTAAGAATCTGTTTTATAGTGAAAAGGTTTGTATGAAGTGTGCAAGAGGTACTAGTGCAAATGAGTTTGCAATGTTCAGTACTATTTTTATATAGATTTGCTACAAATTTGATTTACAATTTTTATACTAGAAATATAATTTTCTTGAATTACAGGAAGTAGCAAATTGTATTGTAAATGGATCATACAAAGTGCAAAATATTGTGATTCTAAGTCACAAACAAGACCTCTTGTGTAACTTATTAATAGATTTGAAGCAGTCTTCATTTCAAAGCTTTAGGCAGAAAATATAAAAGTAGTTGTTTAGGGCTTCATACATAATTTATTATAATATTTTCTGTAATAAGGAAGAATATTGTTTTAAGTAATTTTTTTCAGAAGTGAAAAGTTTCACATGAATCATTTCCCTGTGTTAAGATCTGTTTAGTTTGTAACCCAGCAATTTCAGTAAAATAAAGAATGCTGGTATTGTTTTATATGTTGACTTTATGGCAAAATATTGCCCATATTATGGTTGATAATAAAGATCAATTTTATCAGTATTTTTATTATGCCTATCATCATTTAATGAAACTGTTATAGGGAGAATCTTAGCAGTTTTAAGGGGAGGCTCGCCCTCTGACATAAAATATTTGTTAGTCATAACATTAATTCCAACAATGTGACCTTCATAATGTGGTATCTTGTGACATTGATATAATGACATCACAACCTTCTGCAACATTAATATTTGTCCTACAGTATCCAGATTTTTAATGTAATTTTTTAATAGAAATAGGCACAATTGCATAGATATGAAATATACTTTGGGCACAGTTTCTCACCAATTGCAATTTTCATGGTAAATTTCACCTGACAAAAGTTTTTAATTTTATCAAATACAAATTTACCGTATAGATCTGCTAATAATAACGTATATACTATAGCATTTATAAGCAATTCCATACCAGCTGCAATTTTCTGCAATTTTTTGTAAGCTAGAATTTTACTCTTTAGCGTCCCTTAAAATGTTGGCACACAGAATATTCCAGTATTATTCTCAGCACTTTTGAGTAAATTTTCTACTTAAAATGTATGTCTGCATTTTTTTCTTATTTTATTTGTATCTTGACTTTTAGAGGGTGAGCCAACTATTAGGAAAATTACAAAATAAAATTGCAGACACCACATTTATAGAATGGCAGTCTTGGTAATGTAAAAAGTTCTCGAGCATTACAAAGCAAAATAATTAGTTTGTGTGGCACTATTCACAAAGTCAAATAGATTTCATAATGCTGGTCTTATTGTTAGAAATAAAAATAAAAAATTGAAAAAAAATTAAAGTTGGTAATTGACATATGAAAACTTGAATGAAATAAAAATAATTTAAGCCAGTGATGGGAATATTGTTCACTTTTTACAAATAATGTTATTTATATGTTTACTCTTATAATTATTATTTTTGATATTTTATTTTTAAAAATGCTTATGCCATCGTTATTAGCATTACTATCTGTCATGATATCATTAATATTATAACTATTATAGTGCTATATGATCTTTGATTTATTGTTTGAATCATTAAACATTATCATTATTTTTTTTTATTATCATTGCTACCAGTAACAGTACTAGTACCCTTACCAGAACTATTTATTAT